GTACAATCACAATGCGATTTGGCTGGCAGAATTGTATGTATTTGAAGGCAACCTATCTGTTCTCATGGGAATGTTCTTTTCTCATTTTGTCTCAACTTGAAGTTCCTCTCTTTGGCGGTTAAGTTGTTAGAATCCTTGATGTGGTAATCACTGTAATGCGATGTTCGTCGTCATAAGTGGTGAGATGTCGGTAATTATGAAGGATGTTGTTTGTCATAAGTGGTGAGATGTCGGTCATTATGAAGGATGTTGCGAAATGTTTTTGATAGATGTGTTCCTGAGATCGTGTAGGATGGAAGAAACGTATTTCATGCCGTAGGGAATGCCTGCCTGGATCTTGAGATCCGGGTGTCCCAAGGTAAGTGTCTGGGATGTGAAAAGGTTCAATGGGATGGCGCGTGTTGTTTGTGTTCCGTCGTGAATTCAAAGGAATAATTATACCAAAATGAATACTTGTTCATGAATGTTAGTCTTATACTGAACACACAAGATGGTTCCTGAATGTTAGTCTTATACTGAACATTCAAGATGGTTCATGCATGTTAGTCTTATACTGAACATACAAGATGGTTCATGAATGTTAGTCTTATACTGAACATACAAGATGGTTCATGAATGTTAGTCTTATACTGAACATACAAGATGGTTCATGAATGTTAGTCTCATACTGAACATACAAGATGGTTCATGAATGTTAGTCTTATACTGAACATACAAGATGGTTCATGAATGTTAGTCTTATACTGAACATACAAGATGGGAAGTCGAGCAGCCAGTAGACAACATGTTATTGTTAACACCCCCCCCCCCCCCCCCCCCCCCCCCACCTCCAACACGCCCCCCCCTCCCCCCCCCCCCCCCCCTCCCCTCCCCCCCCCCCCCCCCCCATTATACTGAACATACAAGATGGTTCATGAATGTTAGCCTTATACCGAACATACAAGATGGGAAGTCGAGCAGCCAGTAGACAACATGTTATTGTTAACCCCCCCCCCCCCCTCCACGAGTGCGACCAATCAATAGCGCCCGCTTGTCGCCCCACCTCGCGTGTTGCTGGCCGCCCCGCCCCCCCCCTCCCGCCCCGGGTACCGGTCACCGGTCATACAGCTATCTTCTCTATCAGTTTGACAAAACTGGGGCCCACCTTCCCCATAAAACAATAAACATGTCTGTACCACCGCCCCGCCCATCAGGTCAATCGATCACAATGACAATGGAGCACGGCGTGCGTTTCAAATGTCAGGAGGTCAAGGTTAAATGTCACAACCCCCCCTCCCACACACACCCTCACTCACACACACCCTCACTCACACACGCCCTCACACACACAGACACAACAGCATGATTCCATGACATGATAGCCTCCCGTTAGTTTGTCTTTCCTCATGGTTTTCTGACTTTGTGCTTGGTTCAAAGATACAAAGTAATGGATGCCTTAATTAGATAGTTTGGTCTCCTGAGCTCAGTCTTGAATTCAACTATTTTATGTGACCGTATTACATCAGGGCTGGCCCTACGGTTACTGGCGCCCCGTGCAGGCTTAACTTTGACGCTCCGGCAGGCTTAAATCTAGCGCCCCTGGCAAGCATAACACTGGAGCCCCTTTTCAGCATAATCATAAAGAATTGTGTTTATAAAAAAACTGGGGCTTAAGTAAAAAAAACACCAAAGAATGAACTATACATTTGGACAGTATGAACAATTAGCCTACCGTGGACAGTATGAACAATTAGCCTACAGTGGACAGTATGAACAATTATCCTACCGTGGACAGTATGAACAATTAGCCTACCGTGGACAGTATGAACAATTAGCCTAACGTGCACAGTATGAAGAATTAGCCTACCGTGGGCAGTATGAACAATTAGCCTACGGTTGGGAGTATGAACAATTAGTCTACCGTGGACAGTATGAACAATTAGCCTACCGTGCACAGTATGAAGAATTAGCCTACCGTGGGCAGTATGAACAATTAGCCTACAGTTGGCAGTATAAAAAATTAGCCTACTGTGGGCAGTATGAACAATTAGCCTACCCTGGACAGTATGTAAAATTAGCCTACCAGGGACAGTATGAACAAATAGCCTACCGTGGACAGTATGAACAATTAGCCTACCCTGGGCAGTATGAAGAATTAGCCTACCGTTAGCAGTATGAACAAATAGCCTACGGTTGGGAGTATGAACAATTAGTCTACCGTGGACAGTATAAACAATTAGCCTACCGTGGACAGTATGAACAATTAGCCTACCGTGCACAGTATGAAGAATTAGCCTACCGTGGGCAGTATGAACAATTAGCCTACGGTTGGCAGTATGAACAATTAGCCTACTGTGGGCAGTATGAACAATTAGCCTACCCTGGACAGTATGTAAAATTAGCCTACCGTGGACAGTATGAACAATTAGTCTACTTTGGACAGTATGAACAATTAGCCTACCGTGGACAGTATGAACAATTAGCCTACCGTGGACAGTATGAAGAATTATCCTACCGTTTACAGTATGAACAATTAGCCTACCGTGGACAGTGTGAACAATTAGCCTATGGTGGACAGTATGAACAAACAGCCTATTGTGGGCAGTATGAACAATTAGCCAACACTGGACAGTATGTAAAATTAGCCTACCGTGGACAGTATGAACAATTAGCCTACCGTGGACAGTATGAATGATTAGCCTACCGTGGACAGTATGAACAATTAGCCTACCATGGGCAGTATGAACAATTAGCCTACTTTGGGAAGTTTGAACAATTAGCCTACCCTGGACAGTATGTAAAATTAGCCTACCGTGGACAGTATGAACAATTAGCCTATTGTGGACAGTATGAACAATTAGCCTATTGTGGACAGTATGAACAATTAGCCTATTGTGGACAGTATGAACAATTAGCCTATTGTGGACAGTATGAACAATTAGCCTATTGTGGACAGTATGAACAATTAGCCTATTGTGGACAGTATGAACAATTAGCCTATTGTGGACAGTATGAACAATTAGCCTATTGTGGACAGTATGAACAATTAGCCTATTGTGGACAGTATGAACAATTAGCCTATTGTGGACAGTATGAACAATTAGCCTATTGTGGACAGTATGAACAATTAGCCTATTGTGGACAGTATGAACAATTAGCCTATTGTGGACAGTATGAACAATTAGCCTATTGTGGACAGTATGAACAATTAGCCTATTGTGGACAGTATGAAGAATTAGCCTACCATGGACGGTATGAAGAATTAGCCTACCGTGGGGGGGGCTGTATTTGCAGTAGAGTTGCAAATCTTGGATGTGCTTTGTTCTGTTCAGTTAGGGAAACAAGACCTCCATATTTAGGTTGTACAATTATTGTGATGGGAAAACAAGACCTCCATATTTATTTTGTACAATTATTGTGATGGGAAAACAAGACCTCCATATTTAGGTTGTACAATTATTGTGATGGGAAAACAAGACCTCCATATTTATTTTGTACAATTATTGTGATGGGATTTGTTCTGGAGGTATAAATCCAACATGTTAATAACACTTGGGAAAACAAGACCTCCATATTTATTTTGTACAATTATTGTGATGGGAAAACAAGACCTCCATATTTAGGTTGTACAATTATTGTGATGGGAAAACAAGACCTCCATATTTAGGTTGTACAATTATTGTGATGGGAAAACAAGACCTCCATATTTAGGTTGTACAATTATTGTGATGGGAAAACAAGACCTCCATATTTAGGTTGTACAATTATTGTGATGGGAAAACAAGACCTCCATATTTAGGTTGTACAATTATTGTGATGGGAAAACAAGACCTCCATATTTAGGTTGTACAATTATTGTGATGGGAAAACAAGACCTCCATATTTAGGTTGTACAATTATTGTGATGGGAAAACAAGACCTCCATATTTAGGTTGTACAATTATTGTGATGGGAAAACAAGACCTCCATATTTAGGTTGTACAATTATTGTGATGGGAAAACAAGACCTCCATATTTAGGTTGTACAATTATTGTGATGGGAAAACAAGACCTCCATATTTAGGTTGTACAATTATTGTGATGGGAAAACAAGACCTCCATATTTATTTTGTACAATTATTGTGATGGGAAAACAAGACCTCCATATTTATTTTGTACAATTATTGTGATGGGAAAACAAGACCTCCATATTTATTTTGTACAATTATTGTGATGGGAAAACAAGACCTCCATATTTATTTTGTACAATTATTGTGATGGGAAAACAAGACCTCCATATTTATTTTGTACAATTATTGTGATGGGAAAACAAGACCTCCATATTTATTTTGTACAATTATTGTGATGGGAAAACAAGACCTCCATATTTATTTTGTACAATTATTGTGATGGGAAAACAAGACCTCCATATTTATTTTGTACAATTATTGTGATGGGAAAACCAGACCTCCATATTTATTTTGTTGATCCTTCCCATGTATCTGATTTATTTTTTTCATTTTCTGCCTACATTCAGAATTGTCCCATTGAGTAATGAACTGGAATAATTGTCACATTGAGTTATGAACTGAAATAATTGTCACATTGAGTGTTATGCTTTCTTAAACTAAACACCATTAATTTTTTCTTTCCCTCCAGACAATCCACGCACTATGACGCGTCTCCTCTACACGCCCCACAGCGGGGCTGACGCCATCCAGGGGAGCACCGCTTCCATTAACCGAAGCAACAGCATTAGCAGCCTTCAGGGGTTCTACATAAGCAAGACAAGCCCCAACACGGGCGTGTCCACCAGACCCAACTACCAGCATAGCAGACTTATCAGCAGCAGCACCAGTAACATTATGTCTCTACGTGATGCCCCCGGACGGGCCGGGGTCCCCGTATCCAGGAGCCATTCCTTCGGTGGGGTGTCCATAGGCTCAAACATGTCCGGTTTGTCGGGGCCCACCGTTCTCGGCGACACGGTCAAGAGGAGCCCAAGGTTGTACACCAAGCCACAGCTCGGGTCTCGGTCTTTCAGAAAGTCCCCTAAAGTTCCAAAGGTCCCAAGGCCAAACAGAGCCATGATGGTTTTTGATAGTGTCAAGAAAGGGATTGGGTGAGTAATGGTAACTGTGTCTTTGTTGTGAATGTCATTGAATGGTCAGTCGGTTAATCCATGAACTGTGGTCGGCCGAAAAAATTGGCCGATAAAAAACATGGTCTGATAGCAACTTGAATCCAATATTTAACCAGAATTCTAGCCACATCCTTTTATTAATAATTAAATCATCTTCCGGTTCAAGCTGTTTCGTGATAACTTGAAAATAAAGACTTTTTAATTGGAGTTTTATAGCGCTGTTTTGTTTTAAAGCTAAAATGGTTGAAGCCATGGCTGGGGTCATTCAGTGCAAGAACTAATAGAAATATGTTTGAAAGCTATGGCTGGGTCTTCAGTGCAAGAACTAATAGAAATATGTTTGAAAGCTTTTTAGGAGAGGTTTTAAGTGATACTGGTGTTGATTTTAACATTCCCCATGACGATATCAGTTGAGATTATTCTTTTCGTGAATTTTTTACAAGTCTTAGTGATACTGAAGTAGGCCTACTGAGGCTCCTGTTAGATTTCGAGGCCAGGCCGAAGGTTGGGCTAGGACTGACTGAATTTTAGTCACAGAAGCTACAGATTATAGATCAGAACTAATAAATTTTATAGTTAAACAACCCAAATCAGTTCCACAGTTCCTTTTTAAATGTTTACTTGTCAATAATAACTATTTTGCCTGAGATTTTGTATTTTATACTTGGTTTTAGTAGTGGTCCCAGTTTCTTATATAACTGACCTAAAATTACTAAAATTGCTTTCAGAGGTTTAATTGCAATCAAAACCTCAGCAAACTATACATTTTCTTAAAGATAAATGAATTGGCTACAACATTTAGATTTATGGTTTAAGTGTATCTATAAAAATTATTTTATTAGCACTTAAAAGCAAGACATTTTGTCTAATTTTTTCTTGAGAACTCCAAGGTCAAGGACACCAAGCAAAATTTTTTTACGGGGTGGACAATATTGCCAACTTTATTCCCCATCCATCTACCTTTCTAAAAATATATACAATATATATCAATATTTCTATGTCATTTAATGCCATTGCAAAAGTCACTCAAAAAGCTCTGAAAAGCTGCACACCACAGAATGATGCATGCCACAGTTCAAGGGTTAATTTAGGCTCTTTAGTATCTGATGTGTCAAATCTATAAAAATACTACTTTATGATAGTGTTCTTGTTATAAACTATATTGACCAGTGTTTCATGATAGTGATCTAGCTATAAATTATCTTGACCAGTGTTTCATTATTGTGTTTTTGTTATAACTATCTTGACCAGCGTTCCATGATTGAGTTCTTGTTTCAGAGAGTTCATCCAAGCAACTCATGATGACATTGCTCAGCTGATGGCCAGTGAAAGTGGGACATCAACTGCGCAGGTGAGACACATTCTACTTCTGAATCAATCAGACATGTCGTCCATTGATACAATTTTACTCAGGACTCACCTAACCCCAAAACTCAATGACATGACATCTGGGAATGCTCAACTGACCCCAAAACTCAATGACATGACATCTGGGAATGCTCAACTTACCCCAAAACTCAATGACATGACATCTGGGAATGCTCAACTGACCCCAAAACTCAATGACTTGACATCTGGGAATCCTCAACTTACCCCAAAACTCAATGACATGACATCTGGGAATGTTCAACTTACCCCAAAACTCAATGACATGACATCTGGGAATGCTCAACTGACCCCAAAACTCAATGATATGACATCTGGGAATGCTCAACTTACCCCAAAACTCAATGACATGACATCTGGGAATGCTCAACTGACCCCAAAACTCAATGACATGACATCTGGGAATGCTCAACTGACACCAAAACTCAATGACTTGACATCTGGGAATGCTCAACTTACCCCAAAACACAATGTTTATCTGGGAATGCTCAACTTACCCCAAAACTCAATGACATGACATTTATGAGTGTTCAACTTACACTAAAGCTCAATGACATGACATCTGTGAGTATTCAACTTACCCCAAAACTCAAGGACAAGGTATCTGTGAGGTCTCATGTCAGTTTTGGGCTAGGGCTTAAAGTCATTTATCTCTAGCTTTTATTATCATTAAATTGATGTCATGGGTCGCTGATGTTAAAGGTCAAGTAAAATAAATAATTACAAGATACCACTGGACCAAAGTGGTCATATGTGGTGTAGACAAATATCTGTTAAGTAACAACGTTTAATCAAGCCCTTGCACTTGACAAAGAAAATCTCACAGTGTTCATCATTATGCTCTCAAGTCTAAGCAAACGTTCTATATGTCAGTACATTTCAATGACAATGAAATCACTGGTGGCATAGCAAGCTTTCTTACATCCTGTATCCTATCTATCTGAGGCTCAGGTTTTCTTAGGCACAATCTGAGGCTTAGGTTTTCTTAGGCACAATCTGAGGCTTAGGTTTTCTTAGGCACAATCTGAGGCTCAGGTTTTCTTAGGCACAATCTGAGGCTCAGGTTTTCTTAGGCACAATCTGAGGCTCAGGTTTTCAATGACACAATCTTCCTCTCTAGTTGATCAGTCTGTGGAACATTGTTTAACATTGATAGAGATCAGCTGTCTATAAAATAGATGCATCAAACATAGTGGACATAGAGATGTACATTGGGTATCATTACTTTATATCATACATATAGCTTCTGCCTGCTGCTAGAAAAGTCATGTACCTTTGAATACATGAATTCCTATTTTGACCATTATTTTTTTTAACCAAAGAAAAATGTCAAGGTAACAGGAATTATTCCCCTGAGCATGGCCAGGAATGCCAAAGGTATAGATTCAGCAGTTTGGGATCAGGGATTTCATGTCAAAATTATTGATCCATTTGTTTCTTGACTTGAATGAACTTTTAAAATCATTTTGCCATGAGAAGTGGTCATATTAAAAAAAACCCACATAATTAGCCAATAGTAGTAGAGAAGCTGAAATGATCAATTTTTTACCAACTCTAGGGAAAACTTCATGAAACTGATAAGGTAAACAAAACCTGAAGGCATCTAGCTGTGTAGAGATGTTGTTTGTCAAACATAAGCCTGTGCAGTTTCCCCGATTCTCACAAATTTCTGGTTGATGTCACCTGTGTAGCTTGCTGTGTAGTGCATGCGATGTAACTCATTTGTCACATTTGATCTTGACACAGGGGTGGATTACCTCATCACAATGTTTTTCTTTCACTGAGGTCAGGGGTCGGCCAACCTGGTGTACATTACCCCAAATGGTGTACAAAAAGGTCGAGTTAATGAGGGTTAAAGAGACATAAAATAAATAGAAGTCTCGAGTAGACAAAGTATTGGAGTTACAATTGTTTAAAAATGAGTTAAGACTAGCATTATATTTGAATACTTCCCCTGCATCGTTCCTGTAAATATCATTCATGAAAAATGTACGCAAGTGCATGGTTTAGAAATACCTTATAAGGCTAGTGGTTAGGGAGCCATTGTAACAAACACACCCAACATGTTGTGTTTAGTAGTGGCTAGGGGGCCATTGTAACGAAGAGTGTGAACATTAATATTTTAACTTGCCTATCACAGGCAGAGTGTGCACATTAATATTTTAACTTGCCTATAACAGGCAGAGTGTGCACATTAATATTTTAACTTGCCTATCACAGGCAGAGTAGAGTGTGCACATTAATATTTTAACTTGCCTATCACAGACAGAGTGTGCACATTTAATATTTTAACTTTCCTATCACAGACAGAGTGTGCACATTAATATTTTAACTTGCCTATCACAGACAGAGTGTGCACATTAATATTTTAACTTGTCTATCACAGGCAGAGTGTGCACATTAATATTGTAACTTGCCTATCACAGACAGAGTGTGTACATTAATATTTTAACTTGCCTATCACAGGCAGAGTGTGCACATTAATATTTTAACTTGCCTATCACAGGCAGAGTGTGCACATTAATATTTTAACTTTCCTATCACAGGCAGAGTGTGCACATTTAATATTTTAACTTGCCTATCACAGACAGAGTGTCCACATTAATATTTTAACTTGCCTATCAAAGACAGAGTGTGCACATTAATATTTCAACATGCCCAGCACAGACAAAGTGAGCACATTTATAGTTAACACACTACAATTTAAAAAAAAAATGAAAATCATACTTAAATATGTAAAGCTGTAAGGAAGTCTACTATGTTATTTATTTTACAAGGATTTGTCAGAGCTGATGACACTCAACATATTGCCTGGACTTTCCTTGTAGATGTGTGTTGATGTTGCACGTGTTTTGGCTGTGTATGTAGATAATGCATTTATGTTGCACTTGTTTTGGCTGTGTTTGTAGATAATGCATTTATGTTGCACTTGTTTTGCCTGTGTTTGTAGATAATGCATTTATGTTGCACTTGTTTTGGCTGTGTTTGTAGATAATGCATTTATGTTGCACGTGTTTTGGCTGTGTTTTGTAGTTAGGCTCATCAAGTAGCATCCTAGCATCTAGCATCAGTCCCTTAAGTAGCATCTAGCATCAGTCCCTTAAGTAGCATCTAGCATCAGTCCCATAAGTAGCATCTAGCATCAGTCCCATAAGTAGCATCTAGCATCAGTCCCTTAAGTAGCATCTAGCATCAGTCCCATAAGTAGCATCTAGCATCAGTCCCTTAAGTAGCATCTAGCATCAGTCCCATAAGTAGCATCTAGCATCAGTCCCATAAGTAGCATCTAGCATCAGTCCCTTAAGTAGCATCTAGCATCAGTCCTTTTATTTAAAACATATCCTTGTAAAAGAGGCTAAACCAGTCAAACATGTAACTTATAATATTGATACAAGGATCACTCAACGATCACTCAATGATCACTCAAGTTCCATACTGATAGAATTAAGTTCAACATTTTAAGAAATATTTATATATTTGTAAAAAAAGAACTTATTAGCTTTTGATGTAGGGTTGACTGAACACTGAATATGATATTATGAATATGATATTATGAATATGATATTATGAATATGATATTATGAATATGATATTATGAATATGATATTATGAATATGATATTATGAACATACAGACAAACAACATGATAGTATGACCATCCATACCTACATATTGTAATTATTTTAATGTAAATTTCCACCTTTATGTTTGTCATTTTAAAAAATACATATTTAAACCCTTCATTTTTTAATGAATTAATAATAACTGCGAGGCGTCATCATGGGGACAATCCGTGTCTGAATGGGGCCTTGACCTTTAGGTCTACAAAATGTTGATTTAAGGCATAAACAAAAATGTAAAGATCTAATTATTTAAGGAATGACTTTCCTATTAAGTCAGAACTGCGCTTTTGATCTCTAACTCAATATTTTATGTCTCTTAGCAAATAAAATCTGCTGAACGCTACTTGAAGAGACTAGAGTTTCACCTGTCAAAACTAGACGAGCTCCATGATTGCTACATGCTCAACCAACAGTTACGAGAAGGTCGGTCTCTCAAGCATTGAACAATGATTATTAGCTGAAGAACTGAACAATGATTGCTAGCTGAATAATTGAACAATGTTTGCTAGCTGAAAAAACTGAGCAATGATTGCTAGCTGAATAATTGAACAATGATTTCTAGCTGAATAATTGAACAATGATAATTAGCAGTTAAATTTTTTGTTAGTATTATCTGTATGATGATAAAATGAAAAATCTGGTTTGAACATTTGAAAATGTTTTACACCGCTGGGTACATAAAGCTGGGTACATAGAGCTGGGTACATAGAGCTGGGTACATAGAGCTGGGTACATAGAGCTGGGTACATAGAGCTGGGTACATAGAGCTGGGTACATAGAGCTGGGTACATAGAGCTGGGTACATAGAGCTGGGTACATAGAGCTGGGTACATAGAGCTGGGTACATAGAGCTGGGTACATAGAGCTGGGTACATAGAGCTGGGTACATAGAGCTGGGTACATAAAGCTGGGTACATAAAGCTGGGTACATAGAGCTGGGTACATAAAGCTATGTTGGTATTATTTGTTTTAAGAATTATCTGACCCTGTCCCATGTTAGTGTGTGCAAAAGTATGTCTCTCTGACCCTGTCCCATGTTAGTGTGTACAAAAGTATGTCACTCTGACCCTGTCCCATGTTAGTCTGTATGTACAAAAGTATGTCTCTCTGACCCTGTCCCATGTTAGTGTGTACAAAAGTATGTCTCTCTGACCCTGTCCCATGTTAGTGTGTACAAAAGTATGTCTCTCTGACCCTGTCCCATGTTAGTGTGTACAAAAGTATGTCTCTCTGACCCTGTCCCATGTTAGTGTTTACAAAAGTATGTCTCTCTGACCCTGTCCCATGTTAGTGTGTACAAAAGTATGTCTCTCTGACCCTGTCCCATGTTAGTGTGTACAAA